CAAGACCTACTCTGCCCGCCTCTCAGTGCTATTGTCCCTGGGCCCGTCCCTGACCAGGTTCTCTGGAGAGGCGTGTGCTCTGGCTCCATAGAAGATGCTGGGCCAGGGGGAAGCTGCTCAGAGGGCAGGTCTACAGCCGCTCTGCTGACCTGGATGAGCAGCGCTTCCCACAGAGGCTGATCCCCGCAGGCCACGCTCCCACCAGTGCACAAATCCCGTGCACTGGGCCTCTAATATGTCTATGTTTTTAAATAAATTATATTCGTGTACTAAAATGTATTTTCTTTCTATCATTCACCTCTCTCTCTAGATATCTACCTATCTATCAAATCTACTTTTTGAAGCATAGGAAACTTGAAATACAAAAGGCATTGGATAAAAATAAACATCAGTAAAAGTTCTAATATGTTCCTTCTGATCATCCGTGGATCGTTGTGTTACCATTTCCCTTCCCCAAAAGAACCGTGTTTACTGTTAGGAGCATAAATTCCAAAGATCGTAATTTTATTTGTTAGAGCCATGTCTTTATTCCTGTTGCTACTAGTCTTGTTCAGATTAAAATATTCACTTAATCTTTATACTTATTAAAATTTGTTTGCACAACCTGTATTAGTCAGGGTTCTCCAGAGAAATGGATGTATATCTAAACAGGTCTATGTCTACGTCCACATCTATATCTATCTATGTCTATGTCTATGTCTATGTATATCTATCTATCTATCTATCTATCTATCTATTTATATCTGTTTATTGAGAGATGACGAATTAAGGTTTATATTAAGGAACTGGCTCATGTGATTGTGGAAACTGGCAAATCTGAGAACTTCAGGACAGGCCATCGACTGGAAACTGAGGTGGGATTTTTATGTTATCACTTGCGGGTAGAATTGCTTCTCCTTTGTAGGGCGTCATGTTGTGGAAGGTAATCTGCTTTACTCAAAGCTTCCTGATTTAAAGGTTGTGTCTAAAAGAATACCATCATAGGGACCGGTTTGGCTCAATGGATAGAGCGTCGGCTTGGGGACTGAAAGGCCCCGGGTTCGATTCCGGTCAAGGGCATGTACCTTGGTTGCGGGCATATCCCCAGTAGGGGGTGTGCAAGAGGCAGCTGATCAATGACTCTCTCTCATCGATGTTTCTAACTCTCTATCTCTCTCCCTTCCTCTCTGTACAAAAATCAATAAAATATATTAAAAAAAATAAAATAAAAGAATACCGTCATAGCAACATTTAGAGTCTGACGGATGTTTGACCAAACAGCTGGGCACTGTAGACTAGCCACGTTGGCACATAAAATGAACCATGTTGTGATTTTTCAGCTGGAACTTTTGTAATCCTAGCTTACCTCCAGACTCCCAGCTCTCACGCTTCCAGTTCACTCCCTCACTGCCAGAAGGACCTTTGAAGGAAAGACATTGGTATAGGGAGTTTGGATCTGCATAGCGATAAGTAATAATAATATTCACTGCAGCCGAAACCGGTTTGGCTCAGTGGTAGAGCGTCGGTCTGTGGACTGAAAGGTCCCAGGTTCGATTCCGGTCAAGGGCATGTACATTGGCTGCGGGCACATCCCCAGGAGGGGATGGGCAGGAGGCGGCTGGTCGATGTTTCTCTCTCATCGACGTTTCTGGCTCTCTGTCTCTCTCCCTTCCTCTGTAAAAAATCAATAAAATATATTAAAAAAAAAATTCACTGCAATATTATTTTAGTGATTTCCAAAACACAGTCATGATAAGATTTAAGGCTCTGTGCAATCTGAACCCCTCTAGCTTTCCAGCCTCATCTTTCCTGTTGCTGTCAGCCTTAGGCACCCTTTAGTTACTCACAAGCTACTCTTAGTTGTTCAAAAGCTCTGACAATTTTTTTGTATCTACATGGCTATGCTTTATGGAACAGAGCAAGGCAAAATACAAGATGATAGGAATAAGGAAGGGATTGTGGGAGAGCAGAACAACTCAAGGTTTTGAGATCTGGAAAGCTTTCACTAAGGAGAGGAAAGGGTGAGATGGAGGGTGTTTGGGCTGAATTGCGCGCGTTCCCCCTCCCCTTCCGGCCCTATTCATATGTTGAAGTCTTAACTCTTAGTATTAATACATCAGAAGGTGACCATATTTAGAGACAGGATCTTTGTGGAAGTAATTAGGTTAAAATGAGAAATGAGGTTGTTAGGATGGGCCCTAATCCAGTATGACTGGTGTCCTTATAGAAAGAGGAAATGTGGACATGTACTAGTATATGCCCAGAGAAAAGATGATATGAGGAAAAGGCAGCCATGTACAAGCCAAGGAGAGAGGCCTCAGAGAAACCAAACCTGCGGACGCCGTGATCTTGGACTCCAGCCCCCAGAACTGTGAGAACACAAATAGTGGTTGTTTGCACCACCCAATCTGTGGTACTTTGTCGTGGTAGCCCTAGCAGACAGGCGCAGTGAGGAAGAGCGTGGGGAGCACAGGGTGAGCTAATGCTGACAGACAATCAGTTGTAGAGTGTTATGTTTGTGGATTGTGCAGCTGACTTACTACTACATATATATAATTAAATACATACTAGGTTACAACTCGTTTCCAGAATGTGTCAGACATTTGCTTAGTAATTGAATTAACCATCTGTACTACCAACATGACTGATAACTGTTGATGTAGACATTGATCACCCGGCTCAGGTAGTATTTGTCAGATTTCTCCACTGTAAAGTTACTCTTCTGTATTATACTCTTTAAAAAAAAAATCCTTATCCAATATTATGTTTTTATTGATTTTGAGAGAGACAAAGGGAGTAGGGGGAAGGGGGGGGGGAGAGAGAGAGAGAGAGAGAGAGAGAGAGAGAGAGAGAGAGAGAAATATTGACTGGTTGCCTTCTATATGCACCCCATCTGGGGATTAAACCCGCAACCTTTTGGTGTATGGGACAAGCCACCTAGCCAGGGCTGTACCACACTCTTGGAAATGAAGTCACCATGTGCAGCACACACTTATGGAATGGGGACCCTCACAGTTTTAAACACAAAAAAATGTACACCATACTTTGTAGAGTTGGTGTGAGTGATGATGTTGCTGGATTGTGAAGGGTGACAAAAAAGAAGAAAAAATAAAGAGACTGTGCTTTTTTGGTTTATTTGTTTTGTATCAGAAAGAAACACCCCGTAATGTGGCTGTGAGAAGTAAGAAAAATGTTGATTTGAACTTTGTAATTTGTCGAATAAAATTAGATTTCAACCTTGGGCTTTCTTTGTTGATTTAACTAAGGCAGTCAGTTCTTATCTACACCTCTGTGCACCAATCTGTACCACTGGGACTGCTATGCTATTGTTGCAGCCAGAGAAGGAAAGATTAAAATTGGTTGGTCTTTCATTATTAACTGAAAGGTTATAAAACATTGTTTTCTTAAAGGCAGTGCCTTGACAGTTAAATTTATTGGGCAGTCATAATCCTCGTGGATTTTTCAGAGCCTGACCTACCCTTGTCTTGGGTACAGTCTTTTCCTAGGTTACCATTTCTATTACATACGCAGAAGATGCCATTACCTCCCTCTAGTGGTCAGCTTTATAATTTCAGAATCTTGGACAAATTTAGCAGGAAAAAACCCCCACCAAATCTGTGGCAATCCTCATGATAATGTTCCGTAATATTTTAATATGGATGCTCAAATGACATGGAGGTTGAATTGTAGCTACGTCTTTTTGGATTAGAACTAATTTTTAAACGAGGCAGTGTTTTAAGGTGATAAGTAATTATGATTAAAAGCTAGTGTGACGAAGATAGTATTCTAGACAGAGGCTTACCTACGTACTATTATATTAAGAACCTCAGTGGCCATTTAATTTTAGCCAGGGAATTGAATTTGGCTTCTTGCAAGTGTTTTATCAGGGCTGTAGGAACAAGTGCATATTCTAGATAAACTTGAAAGCTACAGAGCTTTATGAGACCAGGAGTGAGGGATCCTCTTGAGCACTGTTTGTCATTCCTTCAGAGATTAAACTTTATCTCCAGTGCTGGAAATGGCTTTCTTTTAGAACTCCACATCAGCATTTTTTATTTTATCATGGCTTTAAACAAATGCAGTATTTTTTTTATTTTATTTACTTTTTTATTTTTTATTTTTTTTATAGGATTCTATCTCTGGATATGCTTAGGGTGGAGAACCTTTTTTTCTGCCAAGGGCCATTTGGATATTTATAACATTATTCACGGACCATACAAAATTATCAACTTAAAAATTAGCTTGCTACATTTTGTCAGACGTGTAATTAAATCACCCCTAATGCCTTGGCAGGGCCAGACCAAATTATTTCATGGGCCTTATGTGGCCCTTGGGCCAGACGTTCCCCACCCCTGGTTTAGAAGGTTGAAATAATTTACCAGAATTTGAGACAGGCTTTGCCTTATTCTTTAAAAAATATATATATTTTATTGATTTTTTGCAGACAGGAAGAGAGAGGGATAGAGAGTTAGAAACATTGATGAGGGAGAATCATTGATCAGCTGCCTCTTGCACACCCCCTACTGGGGATGTGCCCACAACCAAGGTACATGCCCTTGATTGGAATTGAACCTGGGACTTTTCAGTCCGCAGGCCAGCACTCTATACACTGAGCCAAACCGGTTTTGGCAGCCTTATTCTTGATGGAAATTCTGCAGTACTTATCCTTTGAGTAAATCCTGGTGTTTGTTCCATCGAGATCCAGAGAGTATGACACTTAAAGAAGGGCAACTAAACCAATGGGACATTTGCCAGTCTCCTTCGATGTGGTTCTGATTAGGACTGAAGCACAACTGGAGAGGCAGTAAGCCACTAAGCATTGCTTCTGCTCAGAAAGAAGAAGGAAGAAATTCCTGCAGGGAATTACTGTGTTAAAGCAGTAATCCATTTGTGTCTCTTGGTGATACTCCTGTTGCTTATGACACCATATACACATAGTTCCAGAAAACTGACCTGTCTGTGTTCTTCTCTATGTGGGTACATGAAGTAACGAGGTCACCTGTCTGTTGTTGCTCACCCAGCTGCATCTGATCCACTGGAACTCCACCCTGTTTGGCAGTATTGATGAGGCTGTGGGGAAGCCACATGGAATTGCCATCATTGCTTTGTTTGTTCAGGTAAGTGGTCTCCTATGATTGTTGAATTGTTCAAATGCTTGTTTCCAATTCATTTTGCAAGATGTGTGTGTGTGTGTGTATATATATATACACACACACACACACACACACACACATCTTGTATATATATATATATATACTTACAAAATGATCACCATGATGTGTCTCTAATAACCATCTGTCACCACACAAATGTTTACAATAAAATTAACTATATCCCCATGCTGTATCTTGTACCCTTCTTATTTATTTTATAGCTGGAAGAGTGTACCTCTTAATCTCCTTCACCTATTTGCCCACACCTACACTCCATCCCCCAGCCCCTGACAACCACCAGTTTGTTCTCTGTTTTTGTTTTATTTGTTTGTTTTAGATTCCACATATAAGTGAAACCATATTGTATTTGTCTTTCTCTGTCTGACATATTTTATTCAGCATAATACCCTCTATGTCTATCCATGTTCTTGCCAATGGCAAGATTTCATTCTTTTTATAAAAGATATATATTTTTTTATTAATTTCAGAGATGAAGGGAGAGAGAGAGAGAGGTAGAAACATCAACGATGGAAAAAAAAATGATTGATCGGCTACCTCCTGCATGCCCCACACTGGGCATCCAGCCCGCAACCTGGGCTTGTACCCTGACTGGGAATTGAACTGCAACCTTCTGGTTCATAGATTGACACTCAACCACTGAGCTATGCCAGCAGGGCAAGATTTAATTCTTTTTTATGGCTGAGTAATATCTCATGTGTGTGTGTGTTTAATATATAAGACATCTTCTTTATCCATTCATCTATCAATAGCCACTTAGTTTGCTTCCATATTTTGGCTATTGTAAAGAAAGTTGCTATGAAATTAGGGGTGCATATCTTTCCTAATTAGTGTTTTCATTTTTTGGATATATATACCCAGAAGTGGAATTGCTAGATCATATAATAGTTCTATTTTTAACATTTTGAGGAACTTCTGTGCTGTTTTCTATATTGGTTCACTATTTTACAGTCTCACCAAGTGTTCCTTTTTGTCCACATTCTTGCCAATACTTGTTATAGATTATCTTTTAGATAATAGCCATTCTGACAGGTGTGAGGTAATACCTCATTGTGGTTTTGATCTGATGATTAGTGATGTTGAGCATCTTTTCATTTACCTATTGGCTATGGGTCTGCCATCTTTGGAAAAATGCCTATTTAGATCATTTCCCCCCTTTTTTGATCAGATTGGTGTTTTATATTGAGTTGTATATGTTCTTTATATATTTTATACACTTAACACCTTATTGGATATATTTGCAAACATCTTCTCCTATTCAGTAGATTGACTTTTAGTTTTGTTGATGGTTTCCTTCACTGTGCAAAAAGGTTTTAGTTGAATATAGTCTCATTTGTTTATTTTTGCTTTTGTTGCCCTCGTCTAAGGCGACAGATAAACACACACACACACACACACACACACACACACACACACACACAAACAAAACAGTGCTAAGACTAATGTCAAAGAATCTATTGACTATGTTTCTTCTAGGAGTTTTATGGTTTCATGTCTTTTAAGTCTTTAATTCATTTTGGATTTATTTTTGTATATAGTATAATAAAGTGGTTCAGTCTCATTCTTCTGCATGTAGCTGTCCAATTTTCCCAACACTGTCTATTGAAGGGACTGTCTTTTTTCCATTGTATATTCTTGCCTTCTTTGTTGTAGATTAATTGACCATATATGTGGGTTTATTTTTGAGCTCGCTACACTGTCCCTTTAGTCTATGTGTCTGTTTTGGTATGAGTATCATACTTTTTTGATTACTATAGCTTTGTAGTATACTTTGAAATTAGGAAGCATGATATCTCTTAGTTTTGTTATCCTTTCTCAATATTGCTATGGCTATTTGGGTTCTTTTTAGATTTTTTTGTTTGTGGGAGGAGATGAGCTCAGGGTTTTTCTATACTGCCATCTTGAATTGGAGCCCAGAGTATTTGCTGGTCTCCCTTAAATTTTAATAGTGGTGACATTAAACACATATATAGAGAACACTGACAATTTAAAAGTAGGAAACTTGGTCTTTGTGGGTCATGAGAGAGCAGCCATATTCATTAGTAGAAACTGGTTCATTTACTTGTAAGATATTTTCTTCAGAGTGCCATTGAGGGACTTTGGAGAAATGACTTAGAAAATGTGTTCTGAAAGCAGAATTCCTTTTTTTAATGAAAAAGAATTTGAAAATATTTTTGGAGTCTGGCTTATTGCAAAATCTAAGAAAAATCAATAATGTAATTCTGTAGTGGATTTCTTTTGTTCTTTGCTATTAATAATTTTCACTCAAAGATAATTTGAAGTGCCTTATAGAAAACATGGACAAAATAAGACTGGCAAAGACCTTGATAGATACAGTCAATATGAAGTTTGGATTTGATCTCTGTGGCGGATAAAGGATATTATATAAATTTAGTGAAATGTACAAAAGCAAACCATATGCTTTCAAAGGTAAAAATTTAATTGAAGATGAATGATGGCCAGAGGGATGGAGGGGCAGGGGCAGTAGGTAAAGTGGGATGTGGCAGTGGGGACATGTGTAATTGTGTCAAAAATAAAAATACAAAAATAAAGTTATAAAAACAAAACAAAAAATACATCCTCCAAATGAATCTAATTCCTAAGATGAATCTTTTTAACATTGTCTTATTATAAACGTGATGTGAAAAAAGACTTGGGAGGTGAAGGAAACTCTGAACATTTTAGGCTTCTTTCTCCTTTATCTTACAGAAGAGAAATAAAAGGCCAGAGAGGTCAAGTTATTTGTTTATAATCACATAGTGATTTAATGTCACCAGTCAGCACCAGAAATCATTCTTCCACTCTGTTATTTCAGTATCTCATTCTTTAAAAAATAAAAATAGGAATACAAGTAACCAAATGGTCATATATGGAAGGGACAATTAGAGCATTGGGTGGAAAGCAAAGACCTTTGAAACCAGCGTGAGTATTTCCAGGAACAAGATCAATGTTGGAGGCCAGGGGAAGTGTGAGAGCATGCACACTTGTCCTACCTTTCCATATATATACATAGATTGTTTGCTATGAAGAAAAATTCTGGTTATCTCTGTGACAGTGCCTTTTAGGAATGTGAGGGTTCAGGGTTCAGGTTCAGGGTTCTGGTTCTGGAGGAAGCCACACACAAATGAGAGACTAGACAAGAAAATATAAATTTGGGATTTGGGGGCCAGGCGGTATTCCAGTTTTGGGATACACCCATAGCCTTTAGGCTGGCAATTCCAATAATAGCCAGTCAGCAAGGATTTACATAAAGCTAAAAGGTGGAAGTTGCTTCAGCTATTATTGTCTCAACTAAACAGTGGGTGCAGAGCTCTGACCTTTCAGAGCTTCAAGGTTCAGGGGCCTTGTCAACACCTTTCTGCTAGTGAAGACAATGGGCGACTTCCAACACAGGAGAAAGTAAAATTACACAAACTTGAAAGCAAAATTTCATGAAGGAGAGGATTGATGAGGAATGTCAGTTGGAGCAGAGAGGAGAGAGACTGTAGTTCACCCAGGTGAGAAAATGGGGAAAGGAGGACTCAAGGCAGTGAGTATAAATGTCCCTTTCAAGGAGCTTGACTCAAGAAAAGAAAGACAAAAGGGAAATAACAGGGGGATGCACAGTGAAAGCCTGTTTGTTTCCTTTTTGAGATCTGAGATTTGCCTGTGTTTTTATTCTGAGCAAAACGAAGGACTTGTATACATGCATATAAGTACAACCAATGGACATAAAACTCTGGGAAGGGAAGGTATATGTGGGAGGGAGGGAGGGGGGCAAAAAAATCAATAAAATATATTAAAAAAAGAATAAATCTATTAAGACTGAAAAAAAATGAGGTAATTAGGGTGTAAGGTTTAAATATACCAGTAAGAAAGGGGATAATGGACATAGGAAAGTCCTGGAGGGGACAGGAGGGCATGGGGTGGAGAGCGTATGGCATATGTGTATGGAATAACCTTGGGTAACCACCCTTTATTCAAAATAGAGGCCCAGGAGGAAGAGGTGGGTATAAAGGGGATGAATTTGGAGGTGGAAAAGGAAAGAAATTAGGGAAGTTCATGCCTGATGACCTCTAAGAAAGGAAAGCAAAATTATTTATAAAGCAAAGGAAATGTGGTTTTGGAGTTGGGTTTTGGAATAGCCCAGAAGAAGAATGATAATATGGATTTGACAGTTGGTATGGGAGACCCACATGAGCCTGGTTATCTCAGATTGTACAGATTGTTCTCCATCCAGGTAGAGCAGAGGATCCTAGCAAATTGTTCCACTGACCCGTTGCCTAGCAGATGATTCAGGACAAAAGAATTAGATAATAGAGAGTGTTTGCAGAGATGCCATTTGGTGTAGACAGGGAGGGAAGGAGACAAAGCCAAGAGTCTACTGAGAGTCGGGTCCTTGTGCTCCATTCATGGGAAGAGAGGCAGGAGGGGAGAGCTGGACAGGTGAGTTTTCAGAGTGAAAACAAATCCAGGGTGTGTTCCTGGAATGGTTTGCAGAGGTAGGATGAGGCTGAGGATAAAGAGACATGCCAGGAGGGGACGGGATACTAACATGGATGAGGAAGGCCTCCAGAGTGATGGCAGGGGGTGATGACTGCGAGGGAGTGACCAGTGTGTCAGTAAATGACAAGAAGAACATGATAGCAGCAATGATGGATGGTCCACTCAGATGGCCTTATGCATGTGGGTCTGAGAACTGATCTGACGGTAACAGCAGGGCACTAACCACAGCTTTCACTCTTATGGGAGGGAGCCTGCACAGTGTTCACTCTACTCCTGGGAGAGCTGTGACCTTGTGTGGACCAGAGGGCGTCCACATAGATCAGGAGGTGGTAGAAGAGCTTGTCAAAGATGCGTAGTTATCCTGACTCAGAGGGCATAGTGGAAAATGAGGGGAGCTGGAAAAATATAAGGCAATGAAGAGCTAGAATTCTAGGAGAGGAACATGGCCAGAGGGCTTGCATTTGGGGTGGTGGTGAAAGATGGCAAAGGTGAGAGGTTAGAAGTGAATTGGTCTCACAGCTCCTGGTGGATTCCTGTAGGATTTTAGGGGCTGGGGGCGTGCAGAGTGTCATCGATACTTGCTTTTTGGTGCTTGTAACCTCTGTAGACAAAACTTTGGCAGAGAAGGAAAGGGAAGAGATGGAATAGTAGCTCCAGTTTGGCTAGATACAAAGCTTTGCCCACAAAACGAAGAACCTTTATAGATAGAAGGAACCAGTAATAGTTATTGAGTGCTGTTATATGTAAGAACTTCCTTGATACTGACTGTCTGGCTTTCTGAGTAAGAACAACCCGGGTGGTATTAATTGACTTACATTGCACTATGCCCTGTTCTAAGGTATCTGTTTGATGTAGTCTTATCTTCAACCCCATCGCTTTTGTCCTCCACACTGCATAGGTGAGGCATAGAGGTTAAGCAAACTTGCTCATGGCTGGAAAGTGAGTCAGAATCAGAACCCAGGCATCCAGCCCACATGACCTTGCTTTATGTGGCCCTACACCATTCACATGCGGACTCTTCGTAGTTATCATGTGACAGAGGTGCAGGAAACGAAAACAGACCCCCAAGTCTAGGCAGACATCCAAATGCTGCACCACGGTTAAACCAATAAAACAAAGCAGGGCCTATGTCAGCTTTTGCACTCAGGACCACAGTTGCCTTAGGTATTTCTTCCCTCAGAGAATTTATTTTTTTTTGTTTTTAGAGCCTACCTCAGGCAGGGCAAACCCTTGGAAAATAAAGTCTTGATTATTGTTAACTGATTGGCATGTCTTAGATTGTGCAGATTTCTTCTCTCTTTCCTCCATGATGCCTTTCCACTAGCATGTTTCACAACTGGGTCACATAGACAGAAACAGAGACTACAGATAGGGTGATAGCTATTCTGGCGCCTTCGAGGCCATTCCCTAAAAACCTATGTGGAAGGAAAAAGGCGAACAATAGCAATGATTATCTGAGGTTATCAATCCTCTCCCCTGTCACTGTGCTCCATTATCCTGGTTGAAAAGTGGAAATCAGATTGCACTTATCATTTTTATTTTTAAAATATATTTTATTGATTTTTTAACAGAGAGGAAGGGAGAGGGATAGAGAGCTAGAAACAATGATGAGAGAGAAACATAAACCAGCTGCCTCCTGCACTCCCTCCCCACTGGGGATGTGTCTGCAACCAATGTACATGCCCTTGACCAGAATCGAACCTGGGACCTTTCAGTCTGCAGACTAATGCTCTATCTACTGAGCCAAATCAGATTCGACTCACTTATCATTTTTAAATGTAAAGTCAAGAATGCTTAATGTAACATTAAAAAAAAAGTCTCAAATTCCTTGGAGCATTGCATACAAGCAAAATATGTCATGATATATAATATTTTAAAACAGAAAGTCATAAACAACATATTATTATTTGAGAATACAAAGGTGAAATTATGTGCAGTTGTCATCAAGAAATGTCCTGTTAGTGGTGACTTTAGCCTATCAAAGCACATATCCACTTTTCTGAGTTAATGACATTTTTCAACATTGATGAAATCTTTATAATAATGGTCTAGACATGTCAGATGTAAAAATGGGAGGGTTTGGACATGTGGTGAGTCATTTTGATTCAGAAGCATCCTTGAGACTATTGTATTGCTGTGTTAGATGTTTGACATATTTGTAGCCTTGTACACAGCATGATGAATTTAGATGGGTTCTTGGAAACATCCAAGAACATATCTAATATTTGATTGTGCTATAGCTTGTGTTACAGCATCAATGACCTTCAGTGAATGCTGACCTGACTATTCATGAAAATGCCATTGATTTATTCCCCAAGAAGGAAATTCAGGTGGACTTGATCCTCGCTTCTATAATTAGTTATTTTGAGCAAAAGCTGAGTATTTAATATGCTTGTGGTTAATGGCATTTGCTCTATATATTTCAGATAGGAAAAGAACATGTGGGCCTAAAGGCTGTGACCGAAATCCTCCAGGATATTCAGTATAAGGTAAGTCACTGTTTTAAAGGAAATAAAAATCCTGGTTGTCTTAAGAGGTCGGTCCCCAAAGGCCATCCTCAGGCTGGAGGACTCAGTAAAAGGACTCACTGAAAAGCTGTTATTCTCATGGCTGTGGTCTAATGCAATCGAAGGAAACAGATGAAAACCCGGTGCAGTGAAAGGCTCATGGGCATAAGTCAGGAGAAACCAGGCACAGTTTTTGGGTGGAGTGGCATGGGGACACCCCCATTCTCCCAGCAGTGATGTGGCAAAACATGTGTGAGGTATTTGCCAACCAGAGAACCTTACTTGACCCTGGTGTCTAGGGTCTGCATGTTTGCATGACTGACCTCAGCCACTCTGACCCGAGCCCTCCCATCCTGTCCCTCTGCTGAACTAGACATTCCTCATAAATCACATGATTAGGACAACTTATCTGGTCAAACTGGTACAACATGGGCCAAGGCCTCTGGCACACCCAACACTCTCTAAGGCAGAATAGTCCAGGGGCTCAGAGATGGTCAGCCAAGAGCCAGCCAAGAGCTGCTGTTTTTTTTTTTTTTTTTTTTTTTTTTTTTTACAGATATTTCTTTAAAAAATATTTTTTGAAATAAAATGTGTTGTTGTTTTACTTTCCCATTACAGTTGACATTTAATATTATATTAACAAGGGCCAGGCTTGAAGACAGGCCATTTTTTTGCAATGTGAAGATTTGAGCAGCCCAGGCCTGCTGGGTGAGCACTTTCCACCCATTGGTTATAGGAAAGTTGTGTAAACAAAATGAATAAAAACTATGGCAACCTTACCTCACAGTACTTCTGTTCTCTCTCTCTCTCTCTCTCTCTCTCTCTCTCTCTCTCTCTCTCTCTCTCTCTCACACACACACACACACACAAAAAAAAAAATAAAATAAATAAAAACAAGTACATATAAGCAATAGGATAATGTATTTCACAGAAGGTGATGAAGATTGGTTTGACCCTGCAGTGACTCAGCCTAGCATTTCTGGGAAGCCAAGTTCTATTATAAACAGTACCTTTATGCTTCCATTAAGTCAATAGAATCTCAGTGACCTTGGAGGCGACCCAAAGCCAATTCTGAAACCCATCTGGGAATGAAGTCTGATTAGCTCTACGCTAGCACAAGCCCATTGCATCTTGAGTCAGACAAGAGCCTCTAACAAAGAGAGATCTGAGCACCTCAGAAGGAATTCAGGTGCCAAGGGAAAGCACTGCCTAGTCAAAGAAGCTGGTGAAAAATGGTGTGAGGACACATTTTTGACTGACATTTGCCTGATAGAAATTAGGTGGAGAAATTTTCCTTTATTTCTCCAGCTAATATGACAAAAGTCAGGAGGATGGTAGGAGGCAAGTAAGCTGGATTTTTTTTTTTTAAGTAAATATATTTTTATTGATTTTTAGAGAGAGGAAGGAAGAGAGATAGAGAGATAGAAACATCGGTGAGAGAGAAACATCAATCGGCTGCCTCTTGCACGCCCCTCAATGGGGATTGAGCCCACAACCTGGGCATGTGCCCTGACTGGGAATTGAACCAGTAACCTCTTAGTTCACCAGCTGATGCTCAATCACTGAGCCATACTGGTTGGGCAAGCTGGATTCTTTAATGAGTCAAAGAGTCTCTAAAAGTAAGGAAGAGACGTAGAGGTTAGGCATTAACTTTCTCTGTTATGTCTCATTCACAGAGTAACCTTATAAGAGATATCCAATTGCCATGACATGTCTCTGTCTCAAAGGACTGAGCAATTTAAATAGCACTATTTATAATAATGGCTATTAATATGATTATTGAATAAGGGCACAAATACTTTCTTTTTTCCCCCTAAATATATTTTTATTGATTTCAGAGAGTAAGGGAGAAGGAAAGGGAGAGGGAGAGGGAGAAGGAGAGGGAGAGAGAGAGAGGGAGAGAGAGAGAGAAAGAAAGAGAGAGGGAGAGAGGAGAGAGAGAGAGAGAGAGAGAGAGAGAGAGAGAGAGAGAGAGAGAGAGAGAGAGAGAAATATCACTGATGAGAGAGAATCATTGATTGGTTGCCTCCTGCACGCCCCTCCCTGGAGATCGAGCCTGCAACCTGGGCATATGTTTTGACCAGGAATCGAACCTTGAACTCTTGGTTCTTAGGTTGACATTCAACCACTGAGCCACTCTGGACACAAATATTTTACTTGAAAATGAAATTTAACTTTGATAAAATTGGTTTGAAAGAGAATGTTTTCATGTGAGTGTCAGATTCCCTCTCTGGAGGAGATATTTGAGAGCTGAAATACCAAGTCCAAATGGGACAAAATAAGCATTTGGGAGGCAGGTTGTGATGCCAAGATCAAGTACCAGGAGGAAAGTCAAGTCAAAATAATTACCTGAGCCAGGGTTCAGGCATTTTACTCCGAGGCCCAAATACGCATGTTCTAGGAACAGGAAAAGTAGGTGACAGGGGACAGACAGACACTAAATAGACAGTTGTACATTTCACACCAGGAATTACAGGGAAAACTGGACTGTGGTATAAAAGAAAGTGGCATAGACTCAGAGCAGAGTGTCTTGTTGGACCCAGCCACTATTGTTCCAATGAGAAGATAGAATGAGACACAGATCTAAGCGGTCCAATGATGTCATTTAGAAAAGATGTCAACTGGGATTCTTCAGTGCTAATAACTCTTTTATTGTAAAATTAAGAAGCTTTATGTTAACCAGAGATAATTTTTATTTTTATTTTTTTAGGGGAAGTCCAAAATAATACCCTGCTTTAATCCTAACACTTTATTACCAGGTAAGTATACATAGATAGATTGTATAAAGGTGAATTTTAACTATGGATATGCATTCATTGCTTTCCTCAGAATATGTAACTATGTATTACTCTAGTTAATAAAGGCTCTTTACAAGATATATACTAGTATTCTCTGTGGTAAGTACCCCTTACCAAAACACGAGAGTAAACCTTTTGAAATAACAAATACTTTACCACTAGTTTCATTAATCATGCAGGGTTTCCTTTTTGTAAAAATTGCTACATCTATGTAAGCACCAGCATAACAAGTAACCTTGTTATACTTCTAGAATTGATCAGTGAAGTTTTTATTCATCTATAGTGAAGTAAACTTGACACCTAATTTTATAAGGTATCTTTTTGCAATGATACGTATCTGTTAATTCTGATTATTTAGGCCTGCTCTAAATAGGTAGGGATTGTGTATAAAATACTTAGAATATAATTTGTAGTTAAAGGCTATTTTGTACAAAATTTTTGTCTTTACAAATCTCTACCCAAATTATGTGACATTTCTTGGTGTTTCAAATGTAACCAAATAGGTCGATGCATCATATCTTCTGCTTTTTACATTTAATTGCTCTACAACAAACCAAACATTTACCCATCATATTCAATAATGAATTTCTCTAATATAGTGCTAAATATTTCCATAAGAATAGTTTCTTTTATCCTATCATAATATGCTTTTAAAAATTTGTTGTTAAAGAAGCAGTACTGATAGAAGTAGCCAGAGCAGAATGGTTAAAAACACCGGCTTTGAAGCCAGAATGCTTTGGTTGGAATCCTGGCTCTGCCAGGTATTAGCCCTATCACTTTGGGCAAATTATGTAACCCTTTGTGATTTAATTTCCCAATCTGACAAATGGAGCTAGTCATAGAAACTATCTCATTGGTGTTTTGTAAGGGTTAAATGAGTTAATGTTGAATAGTTCCTCCCATGTAGCAAGCTTTCAATACATATTAGATGTAATTAGCTAAGTCCTCCACTAAAGTAAAAAAAAACCACACACACACACACAAAAAAAAAAAAAACAAAAACAACTATGGGTACATGTTTGCTAAAGTGACTAAATTTTATATATATATATATATATATATATATATATATATATATACACACACACACACACACACACACACACACACACACTTCAATTGTATATGTATTAAGTTTATATAGTACATTTGGATGTAATTAGCTAAGTCCTCCACTAAAGTAAAAAAAAAACCACACACACACACACACACACAAAAAAAAAAAACAACAACTATGGGTACATGTTTGCTAAAGTGACTAAATTTTATATATATATATATATATATATATATATATATATATATACACACACACACACACACACACACACACACACACACTTCAATTGTATATGTATTAAGTTTATATAGTACATTTGGATATACAAAATAAACCACTGATAGAATAAACCACTATAAATAATAGAGTACTCATCGTGTTTTCCATCAATTATTTTCTTTATGATGATTAGTTAAGAACACATATGAGGGTCTAGTTTAAAAATGACATCAGTCTGAGAAGAGTTATTTGGACAGTTTGTAGTTTTGAAAATTATCTTTGGAGTCTCAAAATTATGATGCATTAATTTGCCTTTGTGTGTCATGTCCACGTGGTGGCACAGATCCTCTGCTGCGTGACTATTGGGTGTACGAAGGCTCGCTCACAATTCCACCTTGCAGTGAGGGTGTCACCTGGATATTGTTCCGATACCCTTTAACTATATCCCAGCTACAGGTGAGTGCAGTGCCTTAAGTCTTTTTAGAGTGAAGTTCTGAGTTAAAAGGTTACCTTTTGTTCCTGTAAAAGGGAAATGTCGGTTTTATGTTTTAACTCTCCTTACATCAGTCACTTCTTTGCAGATGAAAGTTAAATGGCTCGAACTTGTGAAAGCAATTGAAAGGTCAAGGATGAACAAAACCCAGCCATCCTTTATGATCTGTATTTTAAAAGTCCGTTTTTATGGAGTAAATAGAAGTCGCTGAAATAGTCAAACTTTTTGATTAGTCTAGTTATTCTCTTATGGAGATTTTCTCAAGCATGGAGAGGAGAAAGGTCTTGAGAGTATAATGAGAATGCTGGTTACTTCTGTAAGTCACATGTGGGCTTTGAAATAGCTCTTCTTATGCTAGCGCAGGACAAATATGTATGAAAAAGAATGAGGTATTGAGAAAGAATACCCTTGGGAAGTTCTGGATTGTTCTGTAGCCCCACTTTTGGTCACCTCCCTCCCCCACTGTAGGTGCTATCGATGCTAATGCACAGGGAAGTAACCTGCTGAAACATGAGACACCATAACTATACTGTTTTTAAACAGGGACTTTGATCCTATCCAATAAAAGAGTAATATGCAATTTGACCATCACTCCAACACACAAGATGGCTGCCGCCATGTGGTCAAAGATGGCTGCCCCCATGTGGACACAAGGTGGCTGCCACAAGATGGCCAGCAGGGGAGGGCAGTTGTGAGCAACTGGGCCTGGTAGGGAAGGGCAGTTGGGAGCAGGGGAACCCAGGCCAGCAGGGTAGAGCAGTTGCAGGGGACCAGGCCTGCAGGGGAGAATAGTTGGGGTAGACCCAGGCCTGCAGAGGAGGGCAGTTGAGGGGGACCAGGCCTGCAGGGGAGGGCAGTTAGGGGGAATCAGGCTAGTAGGGGAGCAGTTAAGTATCAATCAGGCTGGCAGGGGAGTGGTTAGGGGGTGATCAGGCTGGCAGGCAGAAGCAATTAGGGGCAATCCAGAAGGAAGGCAGGCAGGCAAGCAGTTGGAAGCTAGAAGTCCTGGATTATAGAGGATGCAGGCTGCTGAGGAACACCAGTCCCCCATGCATGAATTTCATGCACCAGGCCTCTAGTATTATTATAAAAGAGGTACTTTATGTGTCTCATATCCTCCAGGGATCAATGGGATCCCTGTTCTGTAAGGCTATATCTTCCCTTTGCAATGAACCTCAAAAGGCTTGAGCAGTTCTCTACACCAAGCATGTCAAACTCGCAGCCCACAGACCACATGCCTTGTTTATTTGGCCCCTGTTAGCCTTTTGAGTTTGACATGCTTGCTGTACATAAACCAAGTTTTTTAAAATAATATTTTTTATATCCCTTGCCATTTTATAAGTTCACATTAATTGAGTTTATGGTTGTAATTGAGTTTATGGTTGTAAATATTTAGAGTTTGAGATATGTGTGAGACATCCAAAAGGGGAGTATAATATATAAGTGGTGGTTGAAGCCATAGTGTAGGAGAGGAGAGAAAAGAAGTGGTGCAGAGAACTGAGACTGGCAGTCCCAAGGGCACCCCTTGGAAGAGTTGCCTCCAAAGAAGGTTTGAGAATTTGAAAGTCTGGAGGTTGATGCGATGTCAGGAAGCCAGGGGAGGTGTGAAGTTCAAGAAGGAGGGAATAGAGAGATGAAGAGTATCAGATTCTGAGCACACATTAGTTAAAGATGGAAAACTTTACTTGGATTTAGCCACAGGGAGAGATCTCAGACTTGGGGATGAGATCGAAGAAGCTTAGGTCTACAGTCATGTATATTTAGCATTACAGTTTTTTTTAAATATATATTTTATTTTACACACACACACACACACACACACACACACAGGCATGTATGTTAAAATGCAATTTGTAGTGATTTAGAAAAAAGTTATAATCTTAAGAGAATATACATCAGTCTGTTCTTGACTTAAATGTCTTACTGTTGCTGCTCATACAATTTCAGAGAAGGCAGAGCCAACATAGAAACAGTCTAGAGAAAACAGTGAAAATGAGCATCCGAACCAAGAAAAATTGAGGTCTCATATTATTGCACTTAAGAGCAGAAAAAGAGATAAAGATGGAGAGAATGAGAATTGATCCATAAGATAAAAGGAATGGGGAATGGCAGGTGGAGTGTCTACATAGCTGGTGATATTGAGAAATATGAAACTTTTATTGAGGAAAAAAATGTTTCAACTCACATCATAGGGTTAACATGTGATTAACTGCTGGGTATTAGTATGGAAACAATTGCTCTCTCGAATTACATAATCTGCCACAGGATAATAAGGCCTGTACCAGCCACATTATGGAGACCAGCTCCAAGTCATAACGCTTTCCTATGAAGTGCACAGCAGCTGGACTTGAGGAGGAGTTTTCTGCTGAAGTGTACGGCTGACAATGCCACCCCTCGTGGAATGTTCCCATCTTCCTGAGAACCAGGAATTCTAGACTGTGGAACTGGAAGTGCCTGCTTAGTTGAAGTTTTCACATTACGTTCGGTTAGCATACCATAGGCAAAGGAAAACACACACAATTGGATGGATTTGAATGAGTATAATTTTCTTTTTCTTTTTTTTTTAAATGATCAATCTCCATTAAATGACTTTAAGCTAAACAGTGTTCTAAGTGTTAGGAAGCCAAAGTAAAAAAAAAAAAATTTTTTTTTCAGTTCTATTGTTACATTTGGAAATGAGATGCCATGAACATATGCCGAACTGTGAGTGGATAGCCTAGTTGGTTCACGAGTCAGTGAAGTTTGGAATAAATGTCTTAACTTAGGTCAATTGGAGTACCACCCAGGTTCAGAGAACAGTGAGTATTCAGCCCTGCTGCCTTCAGAAGATGAGGATTTGTCTGTGAAGAGTGGGACCCCTCTTTTACAGTGGTTAATAACAAACGCCATGCTTAAGTAGAGTGGCATTAAAAATCGACGAAATCACGCATCCGGATATATATGATAATGATAGTCTCTGTACTGCCTGGCATTTGAATTTTGTTGAAGGCTTTTATCCTGGGGTATTATTTTTTAAATTTCTCACTACTCTCATTTCAGCGTGGGATAACGCAGTATGCACTTGAAACCATTTGAAGTGACTAAAGGGTTTGAGGGGTGGTTACTTCAGAAACATTGGCATTTCAGAAAGACGTGTTTTTCTCTGTTGATGTTTGAAGTCTTCAAAGTGTTGCTCTGATCAGAGAAAAGCATTTCTTGTGAAAGAGTTCTCTCCAGAAGCACAGCGGTCTGAGACGGGCCCGCTGTTGATTCAGATCCTCTCGTCTAGGAGCTGTTCTCACTGAAGGTGTGCAGGGGAGGCCTGCAGCTTGAAAGGCTTATCTTCAGTTCACTATTCGTAAATACAAAGTTAACCTTGCTTTAAAATAAGCTTCAAAGCCCATGAAGGTGGAGAATTCTTTAAAAGGTGTTGAAGCAGTCCAGTTTCTAGACCACGTTGCTCATCGGGGACCCTGCCCGAGGTTATAGGTTCTGGTGGCCGCTATGACATACGGTTCCTTGGAAGCTGATTGCAAGGAGGAGGATTTTCCATTTCCCCAGCCAACTGGTTTATTTTTTTTTTCCAGTCTACTTTTTGCATATAAAATTGGAGTTAAATATTTATCCAAAATGCTAAAGGTTTGACCTCAAAAAAAGTTGGCTAGTAGATATCAAATACCATGTGATTGGACATTATGCTGAATACTTTTCATGAAATATTCTGTTTACTTTTAACACCATCTTTGCCAGTACTGTTATTTCCTCTCCCTCGTACACACGTGGAAACTGAGGCATAATGAAGTTAACTAATTGGTTGTTGGGGACTTAGGTGGCAGAACCAGGATGAGAACCGGCCCACTGCCTTCACCTTCATAGTCTTCTTTTTGAAAAAGCATAGGATCCTCTTACTGACCAGGGTCCTTCCCACACCACACATAGGGAAAACTGAGTGAGATACATCCCACAAATAAGCACAGGGGGATCTCACGCTGCCGTAACTCTAGAAACCTCCCAGATATGGCATGCGATATAATCGCCACTCATATCCCCACTCAAAGACCCGGAGAAGCCATTATGTAGATTAAACAGCCAGTTGCTCATCTGACTGGCATCTTTATATAAATACATATATTACTTTAAAAAAACAGGACAGTTGACACCTATTATTAGGAAATAAAACAGTATTGGAGTCATGGAAAAATTAACCACTAGAAGTCAGATTTCTAACCTGGATTCTAATCTAACAAGCCATTTAATTTGCCCTCAACTCTATCTTCCAACATGTACATGTGGGGGTTGGATTAGAATCTTGTGAGATTCAGCTCCTTTGGGGTCAGTGAACTTCTACTTCAGAAAAAATGCACATGTACAATTTTTTTGCATGTCATTGAGGGGTTTCATGGGCCCCCTTAAGGAGTTTTTTACATTTTTATCATTATTCCTGCATTAGTTGATTCCTTGAATTTTCTTTTACTTTATGAATGTGGAGACTCTATGGCTGTGCTGTATGAAGAAACCTTTGCGGATATAACCCTCTGATACACAATGGGCTTTTGGTGGATTGATGCCGATCAAACACATTTGCTCAGCATCCATGCAGGATATAGGTTCTCTTGATTGGACTAGGATTTCTGAAGAGGTGGCCATGGAGCTGGGAAAAGAGCAGGTGGGCTTAGAAGTGTCAGACTTGGTTAATTTGGAAACTTTCTTAACCTCTTTAGTATCAGTTTCTCCTTTTGCGTAAGAAATGAAGACTGCCTGAGTCATGTGCCTGTGAGGCATTAAGTGAAGTAACAGACAATGAGCCCTGTAGGTAAGTCATTCCCTATAGATGGGAATGAGCCTGGCGGTGTTCCTCACATGTCTGCTTGTTGCGAACATACTTCTCAGAGGGCCGAGTCTGGCAGGCTATGGGTTCTTAGGGGGTACAGACCTGGCAGGTCAGAGGAACTGCAGTGTGGCTGATGGGAAAGGTCCCTGGGGACCATGGGAACAACCTCTCCACAGGTAAAGGGAAATCTCGGCACATGGAGAGGCCACCTGAGAAAGGGAAATGAATTTGAAAATTGATATTGTTAAGAGAGGAAGTTGGGCTTAAACTTTTGGGAAAATTAGAGGTATTCTTTGGACCAGCATTCTCCGAAGGGCTGCAAGAGCAGCAAAGAGAGTCTTTGGATGAAGGAAATCTCCATCTAATAAATCTATCATTTAATCAGTGTTAATGTACAGTAACATCAGAACTTATTAAAGATATACTTGGGAAGCCTTTGAGATGTTCATTCATTCACTCTTTCTTATTATCCTACTGGCAGGCATGAAAGATTGTTGAGAGAGATGCATATCATATTTGCATTAATAAGTCCAGCAGGTTTTCCTGACACCTGTACTTACTTCTCTGGTCTTCATTTCTCTTGCAAGGATCATGGCTAATGTCTTAGGTCTGGAAGAATGAAGTCCGTTTTCCTGTTTTTGAAGTTTAGTTTTAATTTTCTCCTTTTTAATTTGGCAATGTATGCATATCTTAAGCCACTCTTGTTAATGTCTGGTAAATTATTAATCTATATTTTTTTGCTCTTATTCTTCAGATTGAAGAATTCCGAAGGCTGAGGACACATGTGAAGGGGGCGGAACTCGTGGAAGGCTGTGATGGGATTTTGGGAGACAATTTTAGACCCACGCAGCCACTTAGTGACAGAGTCATCAGAGCTGCATTTCAGTAGCCGAAGGGAACGGGAACAAGCCAGGCTTCCTCGGTATGTGCAGGCTGTGTAAGGAAGTGGGCACACGGTTGTGTAAACCTATCAGACCAAAGGTACACTCGTGGGGATCCTGATAATTCAGCCATATGAGTTTTATTTTGGTAAAATGTATGACACACTCTCAAGCCCCACTAATTTGGAAGTAAGGTGGTTTAAAAAAAAAAATTCATGCATTGTTGAAAAGAATCTGCAATCCTCGGATTTTCCCACTAGAGCAGCCTTTCATTCCAAATGTTGTTTTAATACTGATTCTATTAAGGACAGAAACAGGGATATGCAAGCACCCCTTTAGTACTTTACTGTGTCGAACCCCTGAAGCTTCAGCAGTCACCTCCTCATGACAGAGGAACATGAAGGAAGGGACTGGAGGGGTGTGTGAGCCTCAGAGCTGACCCTCATTGTTTGACACAGATTTATTGTATTGTTTTTGGGGTAGGCAGATCTGTTGTGAATGAAAATACTTGTCCTATGGAAGTGCTATTATTTGATAATCAAGAAGCACTAGTTAATAATCAGAATATGGTATCTTTTGGGATTGATTAAAACATAATATATAAATTTTTAACATGTTGAATTCAATATATGGATTCCTTACCCCTAAGGAGCTAACAAAATAAAACATCACAAACATGGAAAAGGTAAAGTCTACAAAAATGCCGGAAAACTGAATTATTTCTTTACCTTGTGAATTGCCTAAGAGTATGTACAGAGGTCAGCACGTGGCCGGCAAGCCACTGCTTCCCATAAGAGAGTCGTATCTGTTGAAATACTTTTCTAGGTAAGCAGGTCAGAGCTCTGACTGTTTAGTGAACCATTGGGATAGATAGTCACATATTACGAAAGCGGTACAATGAATTGAAATCTCTGGCATCCAGGAGCTCACAGTCTCGTGAGCTGGACAGTCAACACGGGAATTGTAAAAGGTGATCGTTTTGTCCATGTGTTTCTCAATCCAGTCTCCTTGCCTCTCTGTTATTACTACACTGTATGTAACCAGGACTCCAGCCACACCATCTGTTTACATCTGTGATTGTGCGTCGCTCACACAGTCCTTCCTGCCCCACCTTTTGCCTATTGAAATCCTTGCTACCCTGAAGGCCCAACTCCAATACCACTCTCAGCAGGAATTCTCTGCTTCTCCTCTCAATTGCACCTCTCATTTCATACTATTTCTTCCATTTAACTTTGTGTATTTCTTATTTTGTTTTGTTTTGTTAGATTTCAGATTTCAGGATTGAAACATGTTTATTTTACTCTGAATCCATCATGACACATAACTCTGTATCTTGGAATGTCCAGGCAAATTACAAGTTTCTTAGGACTCTAATGTCCTATATTCCAGTCATTCATTCCTTCCCAGTTTCTATGTTAGACACTCCAGTGCCTTTCACCCTCCTAGTTTTAAAGATAATGACCAGGCAAGTTGCCTTTGGCAGGAATGAGAAGAAACTTGTAGTAACTCCATGAATGAGGGGAACAAAGAAATGTAGCAATGGAGATTTCTGATAGTGGGACTACCTTTTCAGAGACCCCAAGGAGCTACTCCTTGTGAAGGAGGTAAACATGTAATGCACTGAGGTATCTGAAGGAAAACCCCGTGGGCCTGAGGATAGAAATCAGAGCAGGGAGTTAGGCAGGGCCCATTCTTGGAGGGCCTACCAGCCATGTGAAAGCATCTTTATTGTTGATGCATTGATAACTTATACAGACTTTTATTCAGGGGAGTGGCCTATTCTCATGTGTGTTTTTAGTAGATCACAGAGACTGGAGATCGAATGCACTGGATTATAGTGGAAGGACATTGCAGAAGTCAGCTGAGTAGCCAAGGTGAAAAACATGGAGGTTTGGATTCTGACGAGGAGCAGTGGAAGGACAGAGACGTTCATGTGTGTGAGACAGACCTTGAAGGCGATAGCTAGTGACAGATTGGATGAGGTAGAGGAGAGTGGATAGACGAGTTAGAGGAGGGTGGAAATATCAAAGATAAGTTTTATGTGGATAGATTGTAATTGAGTGACAGCAGGAAAGCTGGAGGAGGCTCTGTTTGGGATAGAAAGGAAGATAAGAGTTGAGTTGGGATGGTGATGGCTCGGAAGCCCCGGGGGCTGGGTCACAGTGAGGCAGGGAATCTGTGTCTGCTGCCACCACTGCGCCAGCCGATTCCATGTGGCCCATGTGGGCACCACCTTTACTGTGATGATCCCTAGCTTCCAGGTCAACCACTGGGACTTCTTTGGGCCCTGGAAGCTTACGGCAGCCAAGACCTACATCAGGAAGTTGGCAGAGGTAGAGAAGTTAGCTGATGAATTGCATGTGCCATTTACCCCTGGAATGATGTTTGGAGACAATGTTTTAAGAATGCAGCATGGTTTTGGCCTTGGGATTGAGTCAGTGATACAGATGTGTAAACAACTACCAAGGAAGCTTCAAGTAGCTCGGATAGAGTGTGAACATTCCAGAGAGGTTATTAAACCCTCTGATTTGACCTAAGCAATAGATTATAAGGGAACATTACATGGAGAATCACTCAAGTTAAAAGTACATCCTAAAGATACAGTGCATTTGAAAGCCAGAGAGCAGATTAAATTTTTTTGCAGAAGTTCCCTTGTTTGAGGATGAACTTCATGATCATGTAGTTTCAAGTCTAAGTATGAAAATTAGAGTAATGCCTTCCAGCCTTTTCCTGCTATTGCAGTTTTGCTTGTGACTTGACGGAGTGCTGATCAGGATGAATGATAGGAGACTTTACCATGAGGCTGACAAGACCTACATGTTATAAGAATATACATCATGAGAGAGCAAAATTGCTAATTTAACCAACGTTTCACCTTCCCTCTTCATGGAACCTAATGAAATGTCACAGTATTTACTGATCAAGGAGGCAGTTTGTGACAAACTAATATTTCCAGATAATTGATCATAACCCCACAGACTCTCAAGAAAATGCATCTGTGGAGTAGAATGTGATGTACCGTGTACTCACCGTGGAATCTGATGGAGACCTCGGCTATGTGGATGGGGGAATTTTTATTATGATAATTGCCTTATATAGGTGCAGATTTCCCTGTAGCCTTAAAGGGGGAATATAAAAAAGATTGTTTCAGGCAGGTTCCACTCCTCCTAACCCCCCAAAAAAGAGCTGAGTTGGCACACGTTGAATGAGAGATGCCTGTCACTCTCCAATGGTGGATCCACCATGAAGGTAGCTGGAATTTTGAGAGTGGAATCAAAGAAGAGGACTAAACTGAATATGGGGGTTGTTGGCATAGAGATTAATATATATATATATATATATATATATATATATATATATATATATATATATAAAATGTTCTAATGCTGCATAGGCATTAACTCATGAAGTGTTCATACAGTCTTTGAGTCTTTACAGGTACATTAACCAAAGCGCAGAGGAGTTAGGTCAGTTGCCCAAAGTAATGCAGTTGTGCAGCAGCACTGGAAGGGGGACCCAGGCAGCTGGACAGAAGTCAGAGTGTCCCCATGCTGGTGGTAAGGGTGGAGTGATGCCGAGCGATGCATGTTGCCACAGAACAAAGTTGAGTGTCAAGGGAGGAGGCAGAGATGCTATGTGATGCTCCTTGATTCACTTACATATTGCAATGTGATTACCATTGTAGTGTTGCCTAACGCCTATCATGTCACACATACATCATATCTTTCATTGTGGTGAGAATGAGACTTTTTAAAAATTTATTTTATTTTAAAAATATATTTTATTGATTTTTTACAGAGAAGAAGGGAGAGGGACAGAGAGTTAGAAACATTGATGAGAGAGAAACATCCATTAACTGCATGCCCTCTACTGGGAAATGTGCCCACAACCAAGGTACATGTCTTCCACCAGAATTGAATCCGGGACCCTTGAGTCCACAGACCGAGGCTCTATCCACTGAGCAACACCGGCCAGGGCAAGATTTTTTTTTTTTTTTTTTAAACAAAAGAAATACTGGAACTTTTCTTTATGCAGATAGAGGGGCTGAAGATGCTGTTTCTCAGAGGGGCTAGTCCTAGCTGTGAAGTGTCTAAAGAGTTGAAAGGGATGAAATCCTAAGCTGACTTGCAGATTGACTTTTGTAAGAGAATAGACCCTTCATGTGCAGTAATAGGAAGAAAGAGGAGGTGGTGGTTTATAGACATAGTGAGTCTGTGACTTGCTTTTGTTATTTAAGGAAGAATGGGGAGGTAGCCAGTGGGACTAGAGCTGCAGGGAGGATGGGAGATTGGAGCAGGAGAAGGGTGGAAGAATGGGCTTACAGGAGTGACCAATAAGAGGGGAAGGTGTGATGAGGTTTGTTCAACATGAATTTATTACTCTCTCCAGTTTAGGTTTAATATACTGTCTGTGATGATCAGTGACTATAAGTGACCCTTTTTAATGAAATAAGATTATCTTGAATTTTTTATCTATATCGTCCTAGACCAGAGGTGCCTCTCTAAATATCTAAATAGCCATCGCTGTTTTATCACTTTTACACACACAGCACCATGAGATTATGCATATTTCAGATACTTCATATTTACTGTATGATAGGAAGATAATGTATAATTTTGAAAGTCTTAAATCAATGACAATTTAAGTATTTTGAAAAGGAAGACAGATCCATGTCCTGTTTTTGGAGGCTGAGATTACTTAAAGGAGGACATTTTCCCAGAAATTCCCAAGAATGGTGCAGGAATTCTTTCAAAGGTGACCCCAATTCTGACTTCATCCTTTTATGAATGCATTTTTGATCCCTTTTATCTTGAAATATGTTATACAAATCTAGTTATAGTTCTACATAAAAATTATATTGGGAAATCAGACTTATGGATGTGTGCTTTTATTTGATATTTAATAATGCCCTAAGGCAGTAATTCAAATTTTTATTAAAGTGAAATGATTTGACAGTCAGACTTTGAATTTAATGCATGAATGTTTCATTTAAGCTCTTGGAACTGAA